TTTAAGACATCCACGTGGTTTTCATACAACATCTACTGCAACGCGCACCGGGAGAGACATTCGCTGTCCTCCAAGACATCCAACAAAAGCGGGTAAAGGGAGAGACGTTCACATCAGCCCCCCCACAAAGCTCCTGCTCGATGATCATATGCTGCACCAAACACTTATATCAACTTAGCAAGGCCCTCCGCTCAGCAGAAGCGTGAACAGTGAACACACACTCTCCCCCGCACGTATTTGCCCAAAGCGAAAGAACGAATTCTAATCAACGTAATGAAGTCTATGAAGTCTAGTATCAAATCTGCCCAGCCTCTGACTGGAATCATAGACAAAAAAAGGGGAAAAAAATCAAAAAACATCATAACCAAGCAATAAGCAACAGTCAAAGCACACTACAAGCACCCCAATGCATATAGAGAAGGCTGGGGGGGAAGTTAAAAAACAAAACACATTTACAACAATTCCAGCCACGAAGTCACCTACCTCCATGCAGTACCCATTCTTGTTCTTGATCATATGCTTCAGGATTTCTGTGGTTCAGTGAATTAAGGTTTCTTGCTATACATCAAGAACAGAGTCAGCGTGCACCAAAAAAAAAAAAAAAAAAAAAGAGAGAGAGAGAGAGAGAGAACAGAGTCAGTCAGCATGCACCGTGACACGAGACCCTTCATTGAACATGTTCTTCTGATGAGCCCACAGTGCCCATCCAAAGACAAGAGGGTGAAAAAAATGCAGACAAGCGTGCAAGCAGAGGCCAGGGCTCGACCCCTGGACCTCATGCAATGATGCATTCAAGCAGATGCAGCGCAGAGAAAGTGAAAAGGGTTTTTTCCAAACGATAGACCACCAAAAGGTGCCCTACAGCACCCAAGAAAAATGTAAGAACATGCGTCAGAGCCAGACAAGTGCTGAGAGTGAGAGAGCGAGAGAGCCAGAAGGCGAGAGAGAGAGAGAGCCAGATAAGTGCTGAGAGTGAGAGAGCGAGAGAGCCAGAAGGCGAGAGAGAGAGAGAGAGAGAGAGAGAGAGAGAGAGAGAGAGAGAGAGAGAGAGAGGAGGAGAAATAGAGAAGGAAGTGGCAGTGAGACATGCAGGCAAAGAGAAAGAGAGAGAGAGAAAGACACTGACACTGACACTGAAAATCAACACAGGACTCAACATAAAAAGGAATAGAGGGGAGAGAGGAGGGAGGAGAGAACGACACAGAAAAAGGACAGCAGAGTGCGTTGGATACTCAAATCCACAGTGGCGCCAAGATTGTCACCATTGGAAATAAATAATATTTCCCTTCCCTGCAATTCCAAGTCGTTCAACAAACAAGGGAAAGAAGCATCAGAGATTCATTCACGAGAATGACAAAAACGTAATCCAGAGAAAAGCAAAACGCAAATTTAAGCAATCATTGGTCAAAAGACCCAAAACTTAAAATTAAATACACCTTAATCATTACGATAACAATTATCAATTTATTATCACTCGTCACTGACCTCCATCCAACCAATGGGACAGCTAGGATACATTATTAAATTGTAACAAATCCATGAGCATTGGGCATGTCAATTAAAAAAAAAAAAAGGAGAAAAATTAGAAAATATAATAATATATCATAAATAACATGGTAACCCTCCGGACGTCCGGACCGGATTCCAGACAGTCCGGTGTCTGGTCCTGATGTCCGGATGGAGGCCCCTGGGAAAACAAAAAAAAAAAAAAAGGGGGGCATCCCACGACATTTATCGGGTCCTGGCCGCCCCTCAATATAATGGGGTGATTTTGCAGTGTCATTTCACCCCACCGGACAGGGCCTAGAGGTCCGGACACAAGACACTGCAGGTTTTGGGGGTGGCGGGTTTCACACAGGCCCGAGCAATTTCAAGGCGCCCGCCGCTGCTGCCCGCCGAGAGNAGAGAGAGAGAGAGAGAGAGAGAGAGAGAGAGAGAGAGAGATGAGGATGAGAGAGAGAGAGAGAAAGATGAGGATGAGAGAGAGAGAGAAAGAGCACTGACAGTGCTCCCAGTCTGAAGACTCTGACTTTCTGAATTGAACTGCAAAGTTGTGTATGAAGTTAAATTACTAAATCCAAAGTTCAAAGCTCATCATACTTTTTTCAAAAGAAAAATTATGTTTCTTTAGTCTTGTGCCTGCTTTGACCGTTTGCAACTCTGCATGTCTGCTAGTTAAATGTGCTTGTTGATTTGCTGCAAGACACGTGCTCTGCTGCCTGAACGACAAAGTGCAGAGCAGGTAAGTGCCTGCTAACACCCCTGCTCACCCACCCCATCCCACCCCCGTTTTTTTCTTTTTTCTGTCAGGACATTTGTGCACCCCGGGCACCGGTCCGGACTGTCCGGGTCCGGTGATGTCCGGGTGTCCGGTAATGTCCGGATCACCGGACAGTCCGCCATGTTCTCCTCAAGCCTAGCATTTCCTGTCAAAAAAAAAAGAGCAAACATAATAATATATCATAAATAATAAAATAATATCATCATTTACCATGTTCTCCTTGAGCCTAGCATTTCCTGTCATCTTTCACCATTGTCACATAGATTTTATAAGAATGCCGAAATAGTTCAAAAAGAAAAAATCTAAAACTTCCATGCCCTGAAAAATGTGACCAAACTTACTGCTACCTTCTTCCCCCAAATACAACATATCGTACGATCATTATAGATGTGTATTTAGGGTATCTTTCAGTCTAAATACAGCTATAATGACCATACATATTAAGGGAAAGAAGGTAGAACGGTGGGTAGACCTCAGACTACCGTCTTCACCCGAATAGAACACCCAGTCATTTATAGCTCTATTTGGTGCAACTTTCAGTCCAGGTGCGGCAATAATTACCCGGCATTCTATTCAGGTGAAAAAGCTAGACAGATGACTACTATATCCCCTCGTTAGCTGGAGGGCTGGGCCCATCATATCCCTTCATTTTCTAGAGGGGTGGGAAGAGCTCAAGCTTCTAGACATGGCCAAAATGCGCATCAGAAAAAAGAGGCGTGGCGGTACTTTTGGTTTAAGCATTTAAGCGAATGCTACAGCCAAACTTCAACAAAAAGGTAAACACTGTTAGAGACTAAAATTATGAAATACAGAACATGAAAAGAAAAAAAAAGAAAAAAAAAAGCAGGGGGGTTACAACCTACCTCAGCAATCAGCTTGTCCAACACACCGCTGTTCACCAGAGCGGGGAACACATCGAAGTGGCCAGGAGGGTACCTGCACCGACAGTCCAAAAAACACCCTCTCATCATCAACAATCCAAAAAATGACTTTCCGTTAAATTGAATAAATTCTATAAAAAAAACTGTTCACGCAGCAAAATCGAAACATTTTATTTAATGTCATTTTTTGACCCTTCCAAATGCTTTGGTTCCTTGAACAAAGACGGTATGCATTTATGCATCAAGTTCTTGGCACAAAATTAACCAAAAAGAACATACAAAACAAGGGAGGCAAAAAAAAATTCCTCTTTCAATTTCGCCGTGCCATGGGCGAGCAATAAATATCAAATTTAACGAAAAGTCTGTTCAAAAGGCACCATCTGAACATCAATGACACAGCAAAAAAAAAAAAAAAAAAAAAAAAAACCACCTCATCAACGGCCCAGGCATCGTCAATTTGTCATCTCTTCATCAACGTTCCAGACCACTCCATCTCATCAATCAAGGGTCACAAAAGTCCCATCAACATTCCAGAGAACATCTCATCGTCAACGATCCAGAGGACCGAGCGCAAAGGCATACACATGATGCATACATACATAGCACGCTCGTGCAATATGCATACACAGTCACTCGCACATGAGACTCTCAATCACCCCTTCTATGTAACACTGTAATTATTAATTACCATAACAGATTCGTTTGGAGATACCAAATCTTTGTTCTCTTCTGGTTCAGTGGGATTTAAGGATTTCGTCGTTCAACCAATTATGCTGCTCATCACTTTGGATTTAAGGATTTCGTCGTTCAACCAATTATGCTGCTCATCACTTTGACAGCGAGAGCTGTTTGACTTCAATTTAGATATAGTAAAGTTAAGTACACAAAATATCGCCAGTCGCTCCGCTCCCGCTGTCAAAGCGAGCACCGGCGCAGTAGGCAAAACGATCACCAAACATTGGAGCAGACAAGACCACCACTACCCATATAACATAACAGCAATTCATTCTGCACATCATCTGTCTGGGTTCAGCCTCCTCCTCATGAGACTAGTCAGTCGGTGAAACTCTGACAAAACAGTTTGTCGCACACCCTCCTTTGTTGTCCTCTTCTCCCTCTCACTCTCTGCCTATATCAGAGCGCAAACGCGAAAGAAAAAAAGAAAGAAATACAAGACAAAATGAATTCAGTTTCTTATCTTCTTCCTTAACTCCCCCTGTTCAGAACCTCTTGCGTCTACAAGGCCGCCCACGTGGATGTAGGTTGAGCGGCGGCTGCCCCCACCCCCGTGTGTCATATCGACCCACTTGCACAGCCCTTTTCTTTTCTAGGGATATCCCGGGCACCAGGGTCCCAATGCCACGCCCGGATTGGCAACCAGGTGACCGGCCGGGAATGACCCCCGGGCATGGTCCCGGGCAGTCCCAGCGCAAAAAAAAAATAAAAAATAAATAAATAAATAAATCAAATCAAATCCAAAAAAATCTGAAAAACAATTATGTTGTGTAGAATTGCAATACAACCAACTTTTGGCTGAGGGTCACATCAGAAATAAAAACGAAGATAACCATATCACACTAAGGCACGCCCCTTTAAACCCCTTTTAGCCCCTTTAAAATTCATTTACACTCCCCTTTCCTCCTCTTGACAGCCAACACTCAGAGACAGAAAAGAGCCCGGATTTGGCCTCCTCTCGGAGAGCACAGAAAAACCCCGCCGCCTAGTTTTTTTTAACTTCTTTTTCATATTTTATATTTTATAATCCAATTTGGTAAAGTCGCTACCAAAGACTTGAGCTCATACATACATCCAATCTGACATACTTACCTGTTTTTTTTTTTGTTTTGTTTGGTTTTTGAATTGCCCCTTCTATTCTGGGGGGCCTCAGTCCGGTTGCTCATCGCCGGCAAGCATGTTTTTACATCTGACAAGAGGAAGGGGTGAGACCAGACAAGACAAAGGACCAGCTTGTCCCTTGTCGCCCTAGACGCCTGGCAAGGGGGGACTGTTTTGGAGCAACCCCCCCCCTATCCTTGACTCGTAATTTCAGTACTACATTGTTTTCTTTTATTTAATTTTTTTTTTTTTTTCCGTTTTTTCTTTTTTTTTCTTTTTTTTCTTGTTTTCCTTTTTTTTCTTTTTTTTTCGTATTTTCTTTTTTTTTCTTTTTTTTCTTTTTTTTATTCCATGCACTTCGGGATGTTCACCATCCAACAATTTTGCGTGATAGCTGTGTGAACTCGGCTTCACACCGCAAGCAAGCGCAGGTTTTTCTTTTCGTCTCTTTTGTTTGTGCTCTCTGTGAGAAAAAGCTGAGTTTGAATCTCAGCTTCGAGCAGCACGCACATCCCAATCTCAATCGAACAGTATACGTACCAAGCAGCCTTATCGTTTCTTCCCTTGTTCGGCAGGGGAACGAAGTCATCCACAACCACACGCGGATACCGACTCTGCAAAATACAGTGACAGCCACAACCCATGACCAGCATAATGAGGCCACACCAGCTCAAAAGTCAAGGGGAAAAAAACAATTATCCGTCAGGGGGGGAAACAAAACACAACACCAAAAAATCAACATAATTTGAACATCAAAGATGTGATGGTGAGACCAAACACCGGACGATGGACGTTCACTCTGCATACGCTGAAAACAAAGAAAAAGAAAAAAAAAACTCCAACTGAACCACTCCACAAAAGTTACTCACGTACGCTGCGGCCTCAAGCTGCAGGATGACAAATCCATTTCTCAACAAGAAAATTAACCACAAACAGCAAGAAGACATCCATTTCTCAATATGAAAATTTCATACAAAAGAAAAAGAGTCGATTAACTCAAATAATAATCGTACGGAAATGCACCAATACTCTGAATTCAC